ATTAGCAAGGAAATGGGGAGATGAGGGCTGGAAGCGGAAAGAGTTGGTGGATGGAGCCAGCTGGCCAGGAATGGACCTGGACTTGAAGAGGGAACCTCGATTCGCCCTGCGGGTATTTAAGGCACATGAATCCCAGAGGGTGGCTGTGGAAAGGACAGGGAGATGCAGCCAGGATGGCGGCGGTCCTGGCTGGCCAACGGGGAGCCCATGAAGCTAGTGTGAAGTCAAGGAGGAATTGCTACTGAATCATCAATAAACTATGACCTCCATGAGAGCAAGGACCTCACATGTCTTGTTCACTGCTGTATCCCCAGAGCCCGGCTAAGTGCCCGACCAGGTGCCCTCTCACCCTCGTCCCTCTCACCCTCATCCTCTCACCCTCGTCCCCTCACCCTCATCCTCTCACCCTCATCCTTCTCACCCTTGACCCTCTCACCCTCGTCCCTCTCACCCTCATCCTCTCACCCTCGTCCCCTCACCCTCATCCTCTCACCCTCATCCTTCTCACCCTTGACCCTCTCACCCTCGTCCCTCTCACCCTCGACCCTCTCACCCTCGTCCCTCTCACCCTCGTCCCTCTAACCCTCGTCCTCTCACCCTCGTCCCTCTCACCCTCGTTCCTCTCACCCTCATCCCTCTCACCGTTGACCCTCTCACCCTCATCCCTCTTCTCCTCTCTCTGTACTGCTCTTCCTGAGCTAACTGTGCTTCCCCACCTCATGCTCTCTCTCCTGCTCCTTTGACGCCATGTTCGCTCTCCCTCCTACACCCTCCGTGCCCTCCCCGTGTGACACACACTCTCCTCCCAGCAGACAGTCTCTCCTCTGGGCACCTCACTGCCCCAGGCTGGACCAGCTGCCCCTCCTCTCTGTGCACAGATGGCTTTGATACAACTTTCTGTGCCTCTCTGCCAGCACCTCTGGTTTGGGATCTACGGGGAATGGCAAGAGCAGGACATGAGGACCAGCCTGCCCAGCACCTCTTCACTTAGGACAAGGCCAGATCACTGGCCCAGACACATTTGGGTGAAGGGCCCTGAAGAAGGTCTCCCGGCTGGGCAGCCGCAGTGTGAGAGCGGACTGGCTGTCCGTGACTTTCAGAGCACTGGGGCCCACAGCACTGTCCTGGGATGAGGATCCCTTGGAATGTGCTTCCAGACTGAAAGGTGTTCTTCAGGGACGGATACACCCAGGTTCACTCCTCACCTCATGTCTGGACGATTCTTGTCTATGCCAGTCCTTACCATGATGGGTGCAAAATATTGATTTGCTAACTCCAACACTCCTTCCACGCTTTGCATTCTGCCCTCAGCATTCTCCTATGAATGAGAGATCTTCTCCCATTTATGTATTGATGGACTCATGGTATGGACTCATGAATTCAAATTTTTTCCATGGTTTACAATTTAATTATTAATTATTTTTGGTGTGCCTAATCTGTTTGGTTCAGTGGATAGAGCGTCGCCTGTGGACTGAAGGGTCCCAGGTTCGATTCCGGTCAAGGGCATGTACCTTGGTTGCGGGCACATCCCCAGTAGGGAGTGTGCAGGATTCAGCTGATCGATGTTTCTCTCTCATCGATGTTTCTAACTCTCTATCCCTCTCCCTTCCTCTCTGTAAAAAAATCAATAAAATATATTAAAAAAAATACTGCAGCATCACTGTGAGAACCAATACTGCAACATCACTGTGAGAACCAATGCTGCAGCATTACTGTGAGAATTAATGCTGTAGTATTAATATAACAAATACCATGCAGGCTTCACTGTGGGTTTCCCAAAATCCAACCCATTTTCCCACTTAGGAAGAACTCCAGAGGGTAAAGGGTCACTCCATGAGAAACACTAAGGTGGCAGTGGCTGGACTGGGTCTTCTCTGTCCCATCTCCTCCTGGTCCCCTTTCTTCCCTCCCTCCCTGCCTTGCCCACCTCCTCCCTGCTCCTCAGTGTCCTGCCCAGGGCACCACAGCTCAAGAAGAGAATTTTTCAGCTTTTCTTTGTCTCTGTGTCTGACCTCAGCGAATGAGAAACCTCCTGCAGCCCTCACCCCAGGCGGCCCAACCTGAGGCCAGGGCTCCGTACAGAACCTGGTCAGTGACAAGCAGATTCTTCTGATCATGAGACCGGTTCTGTCCTGAATTCACTTCCTCATCCACCTCCCGCCCAAGACTCACTTCAGCGCATCAGTTCCCTATTTTGTGACCCCAGTTTCCGACAAGGTTCCCTGCCTCCTGTCCCTTCACCTCCACATCCAGTCCCCCAGGACCCCCGGTGTCCTTCCCACATGTCCCATCTGTCCATGACCCTCCTCTGGCCTCAGGGCACAGGATGCCCATGGGCAGCCACAGCCCCTCCTGACCCTTCCCCACACTCCTCGCCCTCCCTGCCCTTGGCCCCTCGGGCTGGCTGAAGGCCTTGCCTTTCCCTCCCCACAGCTCCCTCTGGCCTCTGCTCCTCTGCACCCCAGCTTCTCTCTGTCTCCAGTCCCTGCCCCACACCCACTCCTCCTCTCCTCCCCCCAGACAGACCCCTCCTCTGAGGAGCTGCCCTGAAGGCCCAGCCTGGCTCAGCTGCCACGCTCAGGGTCCCAGTCCCCGGGACCGCCACCTCTCCCCATGTGATCATGCTCTGCTGTGGTCCCTGTGCCTGTCTCACCCCCTCTGGGCTTGGAGCTCCATCAGGGGGATCCTGTGTGCTCGGCCCGCCCCCCCTCCCTGCATCTTATGGGTCCTGAGAGGGACCTGGTTTGGAACAGGAGGGCAGGACCTGTGGGAGCAGGAGGGCTGGAGGGCCAGGGGGCCAGGGCTCAGGCCAGACAAGCACAGAGTTGGTGTCCTTCTGGGGGAGAACAAGGGCATTTCTCACTCTGAAGGGAAATGTTGGATTAATTTGAGGCCTGGGCACTGTCCCAGGAGCAGGCAGTGAGCTGGGGCCTGGTCAGCGGGAGGCAGTGGTTCCCAGGAGCAGTGAAGCAGGTGGACTGAGCTCTGGAGGGTGCAGGCGCCTTCCCGGAATCGCCCCACTTCCTGTAAGAGCCCCGCCCAGCTGGCTGCTTTCCCTGCACACCAGGCGCTGGGCCGGCCCCTCCCGGGATCCTGTGTGAGTCTGGACACCAGGGCTATTGGGGGCGGCTGTCCCTGTCTGACCCTGAGTTGGAATGCGCGGCATCAGGCAGACACATGCCTGGGAGGAAGGAGGAGCGAGAACAGAGGGGCTGGGGAGGCATGAACCCCAGCAGCAGCTGAGCCCCTCGGCTCCATGTCCTGCAGGCACAGGCCCCCAGCAAGGATTGATCTGGCTCAGGACGTCATTGTGCTGAGGTTGGAGAGTCTCTGCCCTAAGCCCTCACTAAGATCACAGAAGAGGAGGCCAAGCTAATGAGTCCATAACTGGGGTGAAATGGAAACAAAAAATACTCAGTTAAGATAAAAGGCAGAAGTAGAAAGAGAAGGGAATAGAGAAATCATAGGACAAGTAGAAAACAACCTAGAAAACAACATGTTTCTAAATAATTCCTGGGTCAAAATGAAGCCCTAAAAAAAGTGTTAAATTGAGGTGAGTAAGTTAATACACACAAATAAATATACAATAGATAAATGCAGGTACAGGAGCAGTGAACAGGAAATGTGAATGCTCACTGCTCACGTGGGGGAAGAGGAAGTCTCCAATTACTATCCCAGCTCCACCTCAAGAAACAGGAAAGGGAAGGAGAAATCCAAGGCAAGTGAAAGGAAGGAAATAACAGAGCGCAGAAGCCAGTGAAACTGAAAACACTGACACAACAGAGAAAATCTAACAAACAAAAGCTGGGTCTTTGAAAACATCGATTATGTCAACAAACTCGTTCATTAAAAGATGACAAAGGAAAAGAGAGAAGATACTGATTACCAGGATTGCGAAGGGAAGCGGAGCGGGGGTCATGGGGGTGATGGGGCTGATGGGGGTCAGGCTGGGAGAGGGGGCGCCTTCCCGTGCCCCTGCACACAGAGCTTCCTGGTGGAGGGAAGGGCTCTGCCAGGTCCCCTGCTGGCTGCCCGCCTCCCGCCTGCAGTGCCGCTCCCCCTCCCGCTCCCTCTGAGGCCTGAGAGCTGGGCAGCCTCCCTGCAGCTCCAGCAAAGCCACGTGCACAGGGGGAGGGAGGGGTGAGTGCAGCTTAGGTGCTGGTTGCCTGGCCAATAGCCACCTCCCCTGCCCGCTCCAGGCCTCACGCGCACGCGCACGCAAATGCTCACGCATGCGCACGCGAATACGCACGCGCACGCGCACGCGCATATGCATTGAACGCGCACACGCACACGCACATGCACACGCACACGCACCCGTCACTCATCTCCTGGCGCCACAGCCCTGCCTGCCCTTCATTGGGCAGTAACGGCCTCTCCGCAGACCTGGCTGAGGCCCCGAGTGGGCTGAGCCCCCAGGGAAGCCCCTGCCTGTTGCCCACGATGGGTTCCCATGGAAATGGGCGCAGCCCTGCACAGGGAAGGCGGGGCCAGGCCGCAGGGGGCTGTGGAGAGGGTCTCCCTGCTCAGAGGAGACCAGGGGATGAAAGCAGCTCTGATGCCCTTGGACGGGACCTGGTGAGAATGTGCCCTGGAGGCTGCTGCCACCATAGCCACCATCACAGCAGACGCGGGACCAACAGGATGGAAAAGCCTGGGCCCTGGTGCCCGGGAGCTGCTGGGCTGAGCCTGCGTCCTGCCTCCCGCCTCCTGTTCCAGGGACAGCGGCCGGCCAGGCTGGGGAAGCCGCTCTCAGGGGAGCTCTGCTTCTCCCGCCCACATGCACCCCAAGGCCAATGAGCCCTGGGCTCCCCGAGGTCCAGGCTCCCGCCTGCTGAGGCCTTCCCGTGGGTCCCGCCCCGAAGGCTGCCCGTGGCTCCTGTCCTCGTGGGACGGGTATAAGATCAGGGCCCACGCGGGCCTGGGGCTGACAGCTGGGCCTCCCATGCCCTGTCCTGCAGTGGGAGCACGTGTCCAGGGCAGGGCAGGGGTAAGGCGTCCCTCCGACGCTCACCGCTTCCAGGCCCAGCCATTCCAGGCCTTGAGGTGGGAAGTCCCCTGAGAAATGCTGAGAGTCCCTTTAACCATTTAGTGTTCAGTTCATCTGAACAAAAAGGAAAGTGAAAGCAAAAGTGTCCCCTCGGGTATAAAACCTGTTGCACTAGGAGCAGAAAGCAGACCCTGCCCTGGTGAACAATGGCTTCGGTAAGTCCCCAGAACTTTCTAGAACCGGCTCTACAGGGGAGGGCAGCTCTCTGCTATAAATGAAGGCCTGGGGCTGTGCTCCTGCTGGTAACTCCAGCGCTGTCTCTAAGGCTTCCATGGAGACCTGTATGTTGTTTAAGTCTCTTTTGCTGCAGGACTGGGAGGTGTTCGGGCAGAGGGAGCCCCGCTCTGGGTCTGGCACTGTGTGGGGTCGGGGGCCATGTGGGAGGATGTGCGGTGTCTGGGCTGTGCCCGCCTGAGCTGGGGAAGGAGCTGGAGTGTGGGCTGATGGGGGACACAGGACTTGGGGAGCAGTGGGTCCGGGCCTGTGGGCCTCAGCTGCTGCTGGGGTTCATGCCTCCTCAGCCCCTCTGTCTCGCTCCTCCTTCCTCCCAGACTTCTGTCTGCCTGATGCCGCCCATTTGGTTCTCAGCCTCCAACACGGACAGCCGCCCCCATTAGCCCTGGTGTCCAGACTCACACAGGATCCTGGAAGGGGCCGGCCCAGCGCCTGGTGTGCAGGGAAAGCAGCCAGTGGGCGGGGCTCTTACAGGAAGTGGGGCGATTCCGGGAAGGCGCCTGCACCCTCCAGAGCTCAGTCCACCTGCTTCACTGCTCCTGGGAACCACTGCCTCCCCCAGACCAGGCCCCAGCTCACTGCCTGCTCCTGGAACAGTGCCCAGGCCTCAAATTAATCCAACATTTCCCTTCAGAGTGAGAAATGCCCTTGTTCTCCCCCAGAAGGACACCAACTCTGTGCTTGTCTGGCCTGAGCCCTGGCCCCCTGGCCCTCCAGCCCTCCTGCTCCCACAGGTCCTGCCCTCCTGTTCCAAACCAGGTCCCTCTCAGGACCCATAAGATGCAGGGAGGGGGGGCGGGCCGAGCACACAGGATCCCCCTGATGGAGCTCCAAGCCCAGAGGGGGTGAGACAGGCACAGGGACCACAGCAGAGCATGATCACATGGGGAGAGGTGGCGGTCCCGGGGACTGGGACCCTGAGCGTGGCAGCTGAGCCAGGCTGGGCCTTCAGGGCAGCTCCTCAGAGGAGGGGTCTGTCTGGGGGGAGGAGAGGAGGAGTGGGTGTGGGGCAGGGACTGGAGACAGAGAGAAGCTGGGGTGCAGAGGAGCAGAGGCCAGAGGGAGCTGTGGGGAGGGAAAGGCAAGGCCTTCAGCCAGCCCGAGGGGCCAAGGGCAGGGAGGGCGAGGAGTGTGGGGAAGGGTCAGGAGGGGCTGTGGCTGCCCAGGGGCATCCTGTGCCCTGAGGCCAGAGGAGGGTCATGGACAGATGGGACATGTGGGAAGGACACCGGGGGTCCTGGGGGACTGGAGGTGGAGGTGAAGGGACAGGAGGCAGGGAACCTTGTCAGGAAACTGTGGGTCACAAAATCCAGAACTGGGTGCCCTGAACAGGGGCAGGAGGTGGACGAGGAAGGTCTGGGGTCAGCGTGGGCTGCTGGGCACCGGCATGGAATGGGGCAAAGGGCAGCTGCGCCCTGGCCTCAGATTGGGCCACCTGGGGTGAGTGCTGCAGGAGGTTTCTCATTTGCTGCGGTCAGACACAGAGACACCGAAAAGCTGAAAAATTCTCTAATCATGAAGCAGAGGTGCCCTGGGCGGGACACTGAGGAGCAGGGAGGAGCTGAGCAAGGCAGGGAGGGAGGGAGGTAGCAGAACCAGGAAGGGACGGGGCAGAGAAGACCCAGCGAAGCCACTGCCGGCTGAGTGTCCCTGGGCAAGTCCCTCTCCTTCTCTGATCCTCAGTTTCCCTAGCTTAGCACGTGGGTTCTGCTTCCTTCCCCTGGGCTGTGGGAGGGTGGCAGTTATGGTGGGAAATGTGCCCGCAGAGCCTGCTGGGCGAATGTGTCAGGCCACCTGCCCTCCTCCCCCCACCCAGCTCCAGAAGCTGGGCAGCCACACTGGGGCCCCCGGGAATGATCTGGTCCTGGTAAGTTCCTGTCCCTCAGGTCGGCATCTCAGACAGTGGGTGACCCAGGGCGGGAGGGGTAGAGTGTGAGGAGGCTCCTAATGTCGTCATGGACACGAGGGTCAGTGTGAGGGCAGAGGACCTCGGACTCCCATGGACATTGTTGCGGGGGTTTGCCCTGGGCCCCAGCCTCAGGGAAGGAGGTTTACACGCAGGTTATTATGTCATCACCCTTCGGACTCGTGCACAATACACCTGCATACACATGTCTGCATCCTAGCTGTGTACGTGTACACGCAACACAACATACATATGCACAATACACACCGACAGACAGCACACCCATACACACATGCATGACACACACACACTGGACAAATATTCACTCTCCTAATGCACAAGGTCGCATTTCCAGGCTCTGCCCTTTGGGAAAAGATTCCCGACTTCAGGATCCCCCAGGGCAACCTCTAGAAGCTGCAGGAGGCTGAGGACCTCACAGGGGACAGGAGTCCCCACCACACGCTTACCCACGGATGAACATCCGTAAGGGTGTCCCCAACCAAGGGGCAGCGCCACGACAGGTCCCTTGAAGCTGCCTGCAGTTTTGTCTGCACCTTCCTGGCTGTTTCTCTTGCAGTTTGTTGAAGATCTGAAGCTGGAGGCCTGATTGAGAGTTTCTGCATCAGCTACTCGCACTGGGCGCGCTAGGTGGGTGATAGTTATGTGATCTACCTGGCTCCCCCAGGTAAGGGGGGTTGAAAGTGTTACTCTCCAAAGCTTGATTAACATAATGAAAACCAATTATAGTGGGGCCTTGACTTACGAGTTTAATTTGTTCCATGACTGAGCTCATAACTAAAATTACTCGTATGTCAAATCACTGTGACATTTGCTGCGCTAACTAGCGGGGGGTATCTGAAGCTGGCTCGTAACCCAAATTTTTTTGAGCTTGCAACTCAAAGCAAAAAATCGGCCGAGAGATGGCTCATATCTCAAAAAAACTCATTAGTCGGGACACTCGTAAGTCAAGGCCCCACTGTAAAGCCAAATGCCACCCTGGAAACCTGCATGGATTCTCCCTGGGCAGGGCTTGTGCTCACTGTACATCCGTGTCCCTTGGGGGCATCTCAGTGGTCCCTCAGGTCCTGACCCAGCAGGGAAAGAGGTCCGTGGGCCCCAGGGAAGCTGGGCTGGGGCCGCATTGGACGCTCTCCAGCTCCGGCCC